GCCATTATCCGACATAAGGAGTCTCGATGGACGGAGTCGAACGCAGCGGCAAAGTCGACAAAGCAGACGGCCTTTGGTTGTTGGTAGTTATGGCGGAATTCAAGGATCCCTCTCAGTGTGAATATCTGATCCACACATCCACGCCCAGCGCGAAATCAGGCGGATTTCCCTAGTCTGTGCCGATGATGTTCTTTCATTCCTAGTCTGCATTTTGACTGATCCTCTGTTGTCCCCCTAGTCTTTCCTGCTAGTGAATTATTGTTATCCTGCAGTTTAAAGCGACCCCCCCCAGCCAAGGCCAGACTTAGTAGTTGTCATTAATTGCTCATGAAATACTAAATGAGATTTTATTGCCGTTTAGCTAACCTCTACGGACGCGACAAACTAAATTGACAGGCGGGGTAACTCACCTGTCTACTACCGCCGCCGCTGCTGCTCCTTTCCTCCATCTGCACGTTGGCGCATGACCACCTCCGATTGTCAAGCCGGGGTCCTGGCCACTGTTGTGGTCACACCCCCGCCCCCGCCTCCCTCAGGCGAACTTCCGATTCTCACGACCTCTAGCATTATGTTAAGTACAATAATTAAGAATGTATACGTGTGTATATTCGAAGTGTACGCTGTTCCAGATTTGTCCTACCTACCCACCCACCCACCTGTCTCTCTTTGGTACTACACATGCCGGTTGTGTTGTCGCGCCGGCAATTTCTCACCTATAACCCACACTCCTCCGCCACTTTTCTACGTACTAGTCTTGATTATTTTCACTATATACGTTAATACATCTGTATGCCGAAGTTCCTGCCCGCTGCCGCCACCGTCATGGTCAGTCATCTTCATGTATGCCAAGTTTCATTTGTAAACTTGTCATTTCCCTTACTCTATTGCCGCCTTTCTCCCTCCCCCCAGTCTCTCCCCCCATGACAGGACATTTTGCATTTAAAAGGTCTTTTATTCAAAAGAAAACGGGGTACTTGAACATGTGTTCTCTAAAAGCATTGCTGCTG